ATTAAAGAAAAGCCCCTTGCCCTGGACTCCCCCTGCCCTCTTTTTCTCCATTCTCATGGGCTGGGGCAAAAACATGGTAGCAACCAGCTTTACACATACAGTTGAGGACCATCCCCAAGACACACTGGAGTAAGAAGGTGCCCCAAAATCCGGGTTCTCAAATGCCTTGTGGAGCAGGGCTGCCCTCCCCAGCTGGACCACCACACTGTAACATGAATGAGACCTACATATCTACCTTATTAGAATGATCTATTTTGAGGGTTGGTATCTTTGTTATCGTGGCTTAAACTTGACCCTACCAATCTACCCTTCTTTCTGAGGAAGTAGGAAATAATCTTACGGGCCTTGGACCCTGCCTGGTGTCATGTGATACATCAACGCAGACAAGTGCACAATAGTTTCCACAGGTTTCCCTCAGCTGAGGAGTGATTCGGGGGCGGCAGGATAGGAATGCCCGGCCGCTAGCCTGGGCCAGAGAGTGAAGTCCCCTATGCTCAGAGCAGTGACTGAGCACTACATGGACATGAGCAGCATAAGAGGGGGACAAGGAGGGACACAACAGTGACCTCTGACCAGATACTAGCCTGAAATGAGGAGACTGTGGCCAGGCACCAGATGCGTGCCCCCCGCCCCCATCACCCCTGCCAATGGCGGAGTCCTGCTGGAGCCCCCTGGGACGTAAATACAAGCTCAGGGAAAGGGAGAGGCATGACTGCACTCCAAATTATCCTTCCACCACCCTTACAATGGGAACCTGTAACCAAAATTCAGGTGTTGTAGCAAAATACAGAAGTTTTCATTTTGTGAATATCCAAGTTTCCGTCCTGAGGTTCATGGTCACTGTACTAATGTTCACAGACCATTTGCCTGGCAGAGGACAAAGCACTAACCAGCACTACTTCCTTTGAGCCTCACAGCACCTATGAGGGGCCACTTTATTACTCTATTGAAGATGAGGAAAAAACGAGGCTCAGAGAAATTGCACAGTGAGGTGATTCTTTCAAGTCCATTCTGCTTCTGGCAAACAGCCCCCAGGGCCCTGACCTGCTCTCGGGCCATGTGGCCTCCGGGGCAGGGCCTAAGACCGTCAGATCACCACGCTCCTGAGCAGTTTCGTTCCAGGGCAGGCCAGTGATCTGAGTGGGTTCACGGGGAGCGATTCCTGTGGTTTTATGGAATGTACTACATAAGAGCTTGTTTTCCGCTCTGAACTTGAATGTATGGGAGGCTGAGGCTGAAGACAAACAGCAAGGAGACCCAAGGGTCTGTGTGAGTAGGGAATCCAGCTGTGCCCAAAACCACCCTACCTGGGACTCAGTAGTCAGGCCAGCTGTAGTGGTTTGCTAGATAAACCAGGTGGCTTGAAACAAGAGAAATGAACTCTCTGATACTCCTGGGGGTTAGAAGTCCAAAATTAAGGTGTCAGCAGGGCCATGCTCCCTAATAATGCTCTAGGGGAGGACTGTTCCTTGCCTCTTCCTAGCTTCTGGTAGTTGCCAGCAATCTCGGGCACTCCTGTTAGCTGCATAACTGATCACACGGCCTTCTTTCTTCTATAACTTCACATTGCCTTCCCTCTGTGCGTCTCTACATCCAACTTTTCCTCTCCTCATTGGATTAGGAGCCCACTCTAATGACCTCACCTTAACTTGATTACGTCTTTAAAGATTCTATTTCCAAATAAGGCTACGTTCGCAGCTGTGGGGTGGGGGTTATGATTTGAACATGTTTTGGGGGAGCACAATTCAACCCACAACATCAGCCAATTAATTCCCTGAGCTGACCCACTTTGGGTTGGGTTTTTGATCATTTGCACCCAGAAAGAGGAAGGCAAGATTTAACCCTAGATCTCAGTCGACAACCGAGACCCAAAGCTGTGCCATTAACCACAGGGCCGACTATATGTCTCTTCAATCTCTCTCTTTCAAATGTCAGTGGCTCCACTCTGGGCAGAGGCCCAGGGTCATATGACACACTCAAGGAATATGAGACTGATTGCTACCTAATTAATTAACCAACACTCAAATAGTGAAAATAATGAAATTGAACTCGGCATGGTTTATCACAGGGCAGTAGGCTGTGAAGTGGCTAGCATTTTTATTTTAGAAATAGAAAGTTATGGATTGTCTGCACGGCTGCAGTTCCAGATTTCTCCCTGATTTTGAAAGATCACCTCAGGTGGTGTTAAGAAGAACATTGCCCCCTCCCCAGACATTTAATTTCCAAAATAGCACACCAGCCATGCTTTTTCACATGCATGGCCGTGTTCACTTCAGGGCCTGAGAGGAGGCTGTAATTTCAGCTTGTTATACTAAAAATATGAAAATAAAACTGATCTCTGTAGGATCATTTTAAATGAAAACTGCTTCCTAGAGGCAAGCCGAGGAAGCAAACTGATTGAAAGAGAGCACGGGGCTCTGGGCAGGAGGGGTAATGGAGTGTGCATCCAGGGTGGGAGGCAGAAGCCAGGTCTTCCGCAGATAACCGATGGGAGTTGTCAAAAAGCCCAGTCAGCTCAGGTCAGATGTCTGGTGACCTCTTCCCCAGTTCCTTCGGCTGGGGTCCAAAATCACTGTGAAACACCACGGGCCATTGACCACTCTCTTCCTGGAATCCTGCTTGGCTAAGTATCAGACACCTCCACGCCAGACCCAGTCCACACCCAGCCAGCTAAACTTGAGTGGGCAGGGGAATCCCCCAGGGAGCTCAGTTTCTCAGAAAAGCAGATTTGAGGCTATGCTCCTGGGCATTTTCACGCCATGGGTGCATCAGTTTCTTGTGGTTGCCATAACCAGTTACCACAAACTGGGTGGTTTAAAACAGAAATTTATTCTCTCACAGCTGTGGAGACCAGATGTCCACAGTCAAGGTGTCAGCAGAACTGATTCCTTCTGGAGGCTCTGAGGGAGAATCTGGTCCGTGCCGCTTCCAGCTTCTGGTGGCGGTTGGCAAAACTTGACATCCTGGGATTTTTGCTGTACAACTCCGATCTCTATTGATATGGCCTCCCTCTGTGTGTGTCTGTCTTCCCATGGCCTTCTCCCTTGTAGCCCTGTGTCTGAAATCTACCTTTACTTTCTTTTATAAGGACACCAGTCATTAGATTTAGGGCTCCCCCTAAATCCAGAATGATCTCATCTCATGGTCTTTAACTTGATTATATCTGCAAAGGCCCTATCTCCAAATAAGGTCCCATTCATAGCTACTCGGGGGTTAGGACTTAGACGTATCCATGGTGAGGAGGTGGGCACACAATACATTTGGGGAGAGACTCTGAAACTTGCATTTTTTCCAAAAACGCAGAGTAACTCTTTGCACTCTGCTCCCCAAATGACTCTAGTGCAGGTGATGTGTGGATCATACTCTAAAAAACACTGATTTAGTTGCTGAGGATTCAAAGATGAGTAAGACATGGTCCCCTCCCTTGGAGAAGCTGCTGTCTAGTTAAAGATATAGACAGATGAACCAATGATCAAAATACAAAGTACAGCCCAATGATCCCAAGCTCTGCAGTCAGACAGACCAGGGTTCAAATTCTCTAGCTGTGAGGCCAGCAAGCCTTTAATGAATGTCTGTGGAAGGCAAGAAGGCATTACCCTGCAGAAATGCAGCTGGAACAGGCACAGCAACTCCTGAAAGACCCATTCCAGGACCTTGATTTATTCCATAAGCATTTCGGGGGTACCTGCTGTGTACGGAGCCCAGTGTGTAGGCCCTTGGAACAAAGCCAAGGAAAACACACGTCCTAGTGGGGCGACCGTCAGTGTGGTCAGTGCAAGGTGGAGGTAAGCCTGCCACGGAGGGGCACATTCGAGTGCAATGAAGCATTTCCTTCCTTTGGTTTTCCATCCTTTACATTCTGTTCCTTAGCATTCTCTTTGCGTCTACTGTGGGACTCTCTCAAACTGTAGCATTATGCTCCAGAAACTCTTAGAGGGCAGAAGAGGCTGTCTGTCTTCTTTGCCACTGAATCCCAAGCACCATGTACCTGGCTGCTAATAGACATTCGGTAAGTATTTGTTGGAGTGGTGTCATTTCAGAGCCCAGCACTGGACTTTTATGAAGAACCACCTCCAGCCTCCTTGACTAATGGGTGTGAGTCCTGAAGGGCCAAGAGAAAAGTCCTCTAGAGGATCTGTCCCTTGACATAAAGCCTGAGAGTTAGACCCGGGCAAAACAACGTATCAGAATGTCGTCTAGTTAGGAGCTTTCAACTACTAGACCAAGAGTAAACAAACTAAGCCAGGGAGAACTTAGGACATCTTATTCCTCCTCAGAAATACAATGCTTCACACACACTGAACATTAAGTAATGTTATCAGACTGACCTGGAGGCCCAGAAAATGATTAAAGGAGAAAGACAATGCCGGGTTTCCCCTCCAGCATCCCACAAGGGAAGGAAGAGAGCAAACCATTACAACCTGCATTGTGTGCACAGGAGTCAAGTCCAAGAGGCCCCAAGTTGGCCTTGGGCAAAGGGGATGGTTCTCAGGAGGGAGAGAATGGAAAATTTCCGGGGGATGCTCAGCGTGGCTGGGTAACGTGGCTAGTCACATATGGTGCTAAGTCAGGAACAGCTACCTACCTGTGAGAGGGGGACATGGGCCCTCACTCTCACCTGGAAAAGTCTGTGGACATGCCCTCCGGGGCCAAAAAGCCCAAGCTGGGTTGAAGAGGGAATAGCTTCGGAGACTACAAGCGGGCCCCAGGCGTGTTTGTGACAAAAGAGTTTGGTGGGGGGGGGAGGACTGGTGTTTTCTGCTTCCACAGATGGGATGACTTCTGCACCTGCTTTTCACGCCTTTGACAAAAGGCTCCCCGCCTGACACGGAGTAGGCCGGCCATACACGTGTTGACAGAAACGAGTAAGTGACTGCATGAAGGCTACGGAGGACCCCGAACTCCCCCACCCGCACCTCCACGGCAGGTAATTCCACCTGGGCCGAGTGGAACCCCAGGGTCCGGATTCCCCCCCCCGCCCCCCCCGCCACTGGCACCACCTTTCCGCTTCAGCACCCGCCGTCCAATCGCGAGGCTCCAGAACGGCGGTGACCAGACAAGCAGGTGGGGCTTGGCGCCTCTCCTCCCGGATCCCCGCGCTGCGCTCTGCAATCCGGGGCCCAACCCTGCCGGGGGTGGGGGACGAAGGCCCCTCTCCAGAAGCCGGTACCAGATGGCGCGGAGCGAAGTGGCGCCCGGCTAGCCCGGGCAGTGCGGGAGGAACGGCGCGCCTGGCGGGGGCGGGGGGCAGCGCGTCCCCCGCGCGTCCCCACCCCGCTCGGCCACCCCGGGGCGGGGGGGGCGGCGCGGGCTCGGGGCTGCGGCGGCCGCTCGGCCCGGCCCTTCCCGCCTGGCCGGCGCCTCGGCCTCACCTCGCTCACCAGCCCCTGCCAGTCGCTCTCGGTCCGGTCGCCGTTCATGGCCTCCTCCTGCAGGCGCGGGCCGGCTTCACGGACGCCGCCCTCCTCCGCCTCCTCCGCCGCCTCCTCCAGCGCCTCCTCCGCCTCCGCCTCCCCGCGCCGCGCCGCCGCCGTCGCCGCCACCCGAGCCCCGCGCGGCCCCGACAGGGCCGGGCACCTCCGAGCCGCCGCGCCGCCGCCGCCTGCGGCCGCCCGCGCTGTTGACTCAACGTCCGCCTCCGCGGGAAGGGGAGGAGGAGCCGCGGCGGCCGGGCCGCAGCCACAGTCTGGCCGCCCCCCGCCCTCCCCGCGCCGCCCGGGCCCCCGCCCCCCGGACCGCCACGCACCCAGCCCCGACCCCCGATCCCCCCCGCGCAGTGCCCCGGAGCCCGGGCCCCACGTTTACACCCCCCCCAACACACACACCACGATTCTCGCAGGGAGGGGGCCGAAGGGGTCCCAGCATGCTGGTCACTACTAGCTCCGGGATTCCTGCTCTCCCCTGGCGGGAGGCGCGCTTCACAGGCACCTGCGTGACCCCCCAAATCCAGCCAGCCCCTGACCCACTTCCCAGCGGGGGAGGGCGGTGGCTTTGTTCCCCAGTGAACCTTAGGTACGGGGCCTGGCACATAGTAGGTGCTGTACAAATAAATGTTTGTTGGTCACGGGAACGAAGGGACCACGCGTTATTATATATTTAACATTGTTTTTGAAGCTACTAATGTTTACTTACATTTATTTCGCAAATTATCAGCTGTCATAAATAGAAAGCAAATGATAAAATAGAAAACAAAACAATATTGAATTCTAAATAGGACCAAAAGCTCTGAGTGGGATGCCGTGCTCTGTCAGGGCAGGTGTTAAAGACCTGCTGGCTTCGATCTGAGGCTGTCTCCTGAGAGGAAAGACTGAAGAGAATTACAGAGGGCAGGGAATCTTCACAAATAAGTCATTAATATTCAAGGTGGTTTTCCCAGGTCTCCTAAAATCCTCTCATGGACCACCACCAAGGTGAGCTTTCCAGTCTTGCAGAAGCCCAACCTGTGAAGACAAGCAGGTAGGTTGAGAAGAAGCTGTGGACCCATTTTACAGTTGTGGGAGCATCACTGTCAACATTTACTTATTATTTTTAGCCCATTGTGGATCCCGGATCAACCCTGTGAGATGAGTGTTCTCGTCATTTATCAGATGTGGAAACAGATCTGAAAAATGGAGAAACAGAGACTTGGTGAGGACATCTGGCTCCCAGAGGGTCTCTTCAGCATCTTGGAAACCTGAACACGAGGTACCACACCTGGAAGAAGGCCATATTGCATTTTATCGTTGGCCTCATTTTGTCGGCATGTAGACTGTAAAATCGTGTTAATAATTCCCTGCCATTGTCTGTAGCTTTGACTCTAGGCTCAGCCACGTAACTAGCTTTAGCTAGTGCAAGGTTGCAAATGTGCAGGGGCACTAATCCTTGCTTATGCTCTTGGGAACCTGTGAACCCTACCAAACAAACAAGCCCAGGATAGCTTGCTGGATGACGGACTCACGACCAACAACCAGCCAACTGCCACATATGTGAGTGATGCCAGTGACCCCCACAGATGAGATGTTCATGCATGAGCCCAGCTGAAACCGGCAGAAGAACCACCCAGCTGAGCACTGCCCAATTTGCTGACCCACAGATCACATGGCTAAATACATGGCTGTTATGTCTGAAGCCACTAAGGTTTGGGGTGGTTTGCTATATATCAGCAGATAACCAACACAGATGGTGATACACTGATCAAGAGCCTGGCTGGTCGGAACTGTCCCTGGCAGCCCTTAACAAGCAACAACCCCTGGCATCATGACCTTCTGGGCCCTCATCTAAAGAAGATTCTACAGCTCGGGCTATGAGAAAGAGCCAGTCTACCAGGTAACACATTTATTTAGTGCCCGTTGTGTACAAATACTGTACACATCCTGGGAATGTTCAATAACATTGCAGACCATGGTCCCTGTCCAGGAGGGTTCACAAGCCTTACCATCGAGGTTTTGCAAAGTAATGTTCTAGCGAGCGGGAAGAGAAGAAAGAAGAGGCTAGAATGCAGCCTAAGGCTTCTGGTTTCCTGACCATGCTGGGCCACCTAATCCATTCTCTTTTTAATCCAAGGAGGTGGTGGAAAGAAGGTTCATCCCTGAGCTGAACGTCTAGGGTTAACTCGGTGCCAAACACTTGTTCCTAACAGCCTGATCAATGTCTCATGCTACGAAGCAAAGTACTGTCTGCCAATATATTGCCCTCTGGCAAACCATCTGGTTTCATCCGACCTGTGGATGATATACACTGCAGGAAGATCAGGCATAACCTGGTCCATCTGCCTTCCACTGCCTCCTGGTCTGTGCCTCTCTCTCCGCGGGCAGTCAGGTAGAAAAGCAGCCCCGCCCTTCCCGTTACCATGTGCACCTGAGGCTTTCAGTTCACCTGCTGCTCTGGAGCCAGGCAGCAGGACAATCCGGAAGCAGTTGCGAGCCCAGGAATCTTCACCTGAGAGACCATGTATCTTTAAGACAGCCCTCTGTGTGACTCTGTTTCCCCTATGTGTTTTTCTTCCCTGCAGTCAGTCAGCCAGTGATTGAGGTATTTAAAAATAAAATTGGGGAGGAAAATCGAAGAGTGGCAAGCCTCTACCCACAGCAGCATGCAGGGAGACTTTCAACTCCATTGACATGGTCTCTGTAGTTGGCTGGGGTTTTCCTTAGAGGGTTCCAGGCCTCGAGTGCCAGCTCGAACCTGCTTAGCTTGTGAGATGTGGTTTAATCACGAACCAAAGCAATGGAGCTGCAAGCGATTTTTTAAGATTTTTTAAGAGATTTTTTATCTCTTTTCATTTATGCAGCCTGACATTGAGTAATAATAATAATTAAATGCAATGTAAGCTTTTAGGCACCTTTACCAAAAGGCCTCTAGATACCTCAGCAGCAGCAGCCCAGGCTGACAAAAACAAAGCTAATTATATCGTGGTGAACTTCTGTCAAAGAAAAAACTAAAACTGCTCACCAACTGTCCTTATGTCTGATAAAAACGGTACATGAAATGCTCCAGCCCACAGTCCATTTGCACGGGACCAATGGAAAACCAGGCATGGTCTTAAATTTGTCTTTATCTTAAATTTGCCACCCAGACACTAGTATTGAAACGTTGGCTTTGCCTCTATTTTCACACACTCTCCAGGGTCCCAATTTTTCCATATTGATTCACAGCCCCAGGGCCAGCTTTATTTATTTATTTATTTATTTGTTTGTTTGTTTGTTTGTTTGTTTATATGTACGTACAGGGTTAGAAGAAAGTGCTTAGATGCTTTTGAGTGATGCGTCTCACTTTCAAAAGTTTGAGAGGGTTTTAGATGTGGCAACTCCAAAATAGCTTAATCTAAGACATTGAACCAGCAGATAGATACTGATGAAAACAAAACCAAACCAAACAAAAAAAAATCTCTGGAGAGACTGGGAGCGAAAGGATGACTTGAACTGGTTGTTAGAAACCTAGCCTCTCATCACCATGTCTCCACTGACTTGCGAGATGACTTTGGCCAAGTCCCAAGAGCCCCAGAGACCCGGGAAAGCCCTAAAGCTTTTGATACAACTTCTCCAGCCACTATTTTCAATTCAAATTCTGGCTGCCCAAGCAAAAATGTCAGTGTTCTCCTTAAAGGAAACTTAGAAAATACCTAGTTGAGATTTTTGGCTCAGCTTTTCTCTGAACTACACAATTGGGGCAATACTCATGACCACTCCTTTCCCCTAGTCACCTTTCTCCTGCCTGAATTAGGAAATCCAGTGTGATGAGCCTGGGAAGAAAATGATTCATAATGATAACGGTTTATAGTGATGTCTTATATATGTATATACTGTATATTTATATAATTTTAAAAAATTAACTCGATATGAACTAAGATCCCCAATTCTTGCTTTTGTCAAAGAAGGGCTATTTAGACAGATCCTGCCAGGAGCCCTCCCCCACCCCACCTGGTTGCTAAGTGCATTCCTTTGTTCTTTATTTTAAGGGGGTGGGGGGAAGACTGCAGAGGACTGTAGGTCCTAGTGTCTATGGCAGTCAGGCTTCCTACAGAGCGCTGAGACCTGAGGTCCCCTGGGCCACTGGCCTCAATTCTATAAAAGATAAGCCTCCTCTCTTCTCCCTACCTGGGGATGCTCTGCAAAGCGCTTCATCCATCATTTCCCTCCCACGGCTGGCAGCCAGACATCAGACAGACCCGGATTCTGCCCGGGGTTCCTGACTCAGAGCATCCTCTGTCTGTTTGCCTCCTGAGCTCCTGGGCCCTCTCTCTGCCACCACTATGCCCTCCTAGCCCAGCAGCAAACAATCAGTTGCTCGCTGCTTCCCCACCCCCAACCCCCCCAGCCCCACTGGCTGCCAATCAGCCAGGCAGCAGGGGGTGGAAGGAAGTTCCACTCCCTGCTGAACCACCACTGAGGTGCTCAAATGACTGAGTGGGGCTGATGATGGCCTGGCAGGCCGGGACCCGCAATTGCCATCCTGGAGGGGTGCAGGCGTCGGTGTGATTGGCTGGGGCGTTGCGGGGGCAGGGGGCGGGGACCAGCCGAGGCAGAAGGGCCGCTCCTGGGATGGAAGGGTTCTGAGAAGGGGGACCGAGAAGTCAGCAGCAAAGGGCCAAGAGCTGGAGGAGGCCAGGAAGGAAAGGAGGGGCAAAGGGAGAGGCAGGGCCCGGTGGGGCTCCTGGTAAGAGGCCAGAAAATCAAGAAGGTGGGAGAGAGGAGGGGGGCGGGGGGAAGCAGAGGCGAGGGCAGGCTGGTGGGGGAAATGGTGTGAGTCGGGCCCCAAGGAAGGAGTTAAATGTACAGAGACAGGGAAAGTCACTCTGCTCCCAGATTATTCAAATTTGTTGTACTTATTGATAATGTATTTCATTTCTTCTGCGTGGGGGGGATATGATTCAGCACAAATTGGATGTAAATTTATGGAAATGTAAATGCAGAGAGGCTGCAGGCCTGAGCGGCTGCCGGGTTGGCTGCGTGGCCCTCAGCACAGGGGAGGTTAGCACTCTCTGGACTTGGGGATCTGAAAATAGAAACGGCTGATTTGGGGGCCACTGGCCTCTCCTGCAGGCCAAGAGAGGGACTGACCCTGTCGCTCTGCGAGGCTTCTTAAAAAAAAAAAAAAGTCTGATGATTGTCTAAAATAGGATCACCTACATTGTCCTCTGGTCAGATTTTTCTCTTAGGGTTGGGGGGACGGTTTTTACCCAGTAGAGACGGACAGGCTTATTTCAGTGAAAAGGGACACCAAAAGAAAAGAACTAACATTATCTAGAACCTACTGTGTGTACAGAATTCACTATCGAAGCGACAACAGTGTTGTTGTTTTTTTTTTCCTTCTGCGCTTTGGAAAAGTAATGGGACTTGGGGGAGGGAAGAAAACACAAAGAAAACAATTTGATAGGGTGAAAAGGTGGCATTCCATATAAATAGCTAGAGCTGGTAAAATATTTATTGTCCATTAGGCTGTCCTTCAGAAGCCTGGATGTTGATTTTTATCTTCCCCTTCATCCAGGGTCATGACGTTTCTCTGATGATGTGCCTCTCCCAGTTGGGAGCAGCCTCTCCAGCCTGGCCATGACCATGACTGCAAAGAGAACCCTTCATGGATTTTTGAGAATAGCTTCTCTGAGCCAGGCCTTCCTCTGCAACTTGCAACCACGGTGAGACCGGAGATTCAAGACCCCATAACGCAAGGTCCACCAAAGTGTTTTACTGCCCCTTCATTCCCGTCAGAGGCGAATGGGACCAGCACTGGTGTCTGCTTTCCACCAAAACTGTGATTCCTTTCAGTGTCCAAACGGTTGAGCTGCTGTGGCTCCCTGAGCTGGGGGCAGACAAAGAGGTGTTGCCTGCAGTCCGCAGCCGGGGCTTGTGGGTGTACTTGAGCAAATGTTTCAAAGGATGGCAGTGATTTGCTTGCTTTTACTACATCCACGGGGCAGAAATTGTCAGGGCTTGGTGACACCGATTATAATGCTTTGACCTCATTCAGTCACCAAAGGGCAAATTTCTCTTTGTTCTCTAGCAGAAACACAACTTGGCAAATAAACATGATTTCTAAAGAGAGACTGTCAACAAGGGTATTTATGAGCTTACTGTGTCCCTGCTATTCCATTGAGTAGCTTACCTTTAGGGGGGAAAAAGGCACATATATGCCCACCTGTGCCACCAAAGGCACATATATGCCCACCTGGTTGTTCCCGTGAAGCAGAAAAAAACTTTCTTTTAAAAAGATTTTATTTATTTATTTATTTATTTATTTATTTATTTGGGAGAGCACAAGTGAGCGAGAGAGAGAGAGAGAGAGAGCATGAGAGCAGGGTGAGGGGCAGAGAGAGATGCAGACTCCCTGCTGAGCAGGGAGCCAGATGCGGGGCTCGATCCCAGGACCCTGGGATCATGACCTGAGCTGAAGGCAGACGCTTAACCATCTGAGCCACCCAGGCACCCAGGAAAAGCAATCTTAAGGTGATATAAGAGATCTTAGGAGGATCTTCTAACAACCAGGTTAAGATGCTGGCTTCTGTCCTCGAGGCTCTTAGTCCAGTGGCCAAGTTCCCCAAGCAGCTGAACACCGCAGAAACGTGGAGAAATATTCCAGAATCGGCCTCTATGGCTATATATTATGTCACATAGTCACCCTTTCCAGGAACTGGGAATGAATCATGAAAACTAGACCCATTTGGTACGCTTAAAAATGGTTAATACAGCAAATTTTATGTTCTATATATCCTACCATAAAAATAAGTAAAGAAAAAAAAAACTTTTGAAAAAATTAAAAACACACAAAAAAGAAAAACCAGGTCCAATTAGAAAGCTGTGAGAGGGCAGAATCAAAGACACAGAAAACATGAGTTGGCGAGTTTCTGCACCACATCCCAGATTATTTGAAAAAGAGGTTGCAATGACTCCTTTCTGAGGTGAAGGAAGAAATAGTCGGACAAAAGCTTGAGAAAGGGAGCAGTGGGTTGGAGTAGTGAGTTTGGGGGCTGGGGCACCTTCACCACCCTGTGTGTGATTTGGTGTCCTCGTCTCTACGATGAGCAGCTTGAGCCAGATGACCTTGAGGGTCTGCAGCTCGATGAAATGAAGCCAAATTTTACATTTGGGTGGAGCTCTGCACAGAAGGTTAGTGAAGGTATTGTTAACCACCACCCAAGAAAGATTACAGCACCATAAAGAGTTAGGAGTACAAGGAATCTCGGAGATCTGGACCCCTTAGTTTACAAGGAGAGAAATAGAGGCCCCAAGTGACGAAGCACCTTGCCCAATGTCACAGAGCCTGTTAGGGACAGAGCCGTGCCAGAGCCCAGCTTCTGATTCCCATGCTCTGGCTTCTTCACCGTGCTTTGAAGTTGAGAATATTGGAAGTTCCCAAAGAGCAGAATTCTGGTCACCCATTGCTATGCAACAAACCACCTCAAACCTAGTAGCTCCAACATTGATTTACTATTGTCTCCTGGGGTTTTGTGGGTTGTCTGGGCTCAGCTGGGTCATTTTCATGTGGAGTCTCCCCTGTGGAGACCAGACAGAGGCTGGGCCTGTGCTTCTCTGAAGGCTCAACTGGACCGATGTCCAAGACAGCTCATTAACATGGCCGGCCATTGAGACTGGCAGTCGGTGCTGCCTGCCCGCTGGGAACTCAGCTAAAGCCGGCAGCTGGAACACCTACTCCTGTCTCGCCATGTCGGGCTTTTCACTACATGGCAGCCAGGTTCCCAGAAGGAGCTTCTCAAGCACAAGTGTTTCAAGGAAGAGGAGGTGTGTCTTAGTTCATTCAGGAGGCTATAACAAAACCCCTTAAACTGAGTAGCTGAAAAACCACAGACATTTATTCCTCACAGTTCTGGAACCTGGGGAGTCCAAGATCATGGTGCAGACAGATTCGGTGTCTGGTGAGGGCCAGTTCTTCGACGGCCATCTTGTCACTGTGACCTAACACAGTGGAAGGGGCGAGTTGGGTCTTTGGGGTCTCTTATAAAAACATTAATCCCAGTCATTGGAGCAGAGCGTTTGTGGTCTAATCACCTCCCAAAGGCCCCACCTGCTAGTATCATCAGCTTGGGGTAAAACTGTAACATTTCAATACTGAGGAGACACAAACATTCAGACCATAGCAAAGTGGAAGCTGCCAGTCCTATAAAAGGTCAGCCCTGGAACTAGCACGCAATCACTTCCACCACAAGCTTTCGGTCAAAGTAGTCACATGTCAGCCCAGTTTCAAGAGAGTAGGGTAATAGACGCTACCTCTAGATAAGGATGGCATGGGGCCATCCATGTGCACATAGGGAGAAACGAATTCCAAAGAATTCCATCTCTGGAAACACACTACCACAGCAACAGTTCTGATTTTTATCACAAATGATCCTTTGATGCCGTCTTTGCAAAAAGCAACCCTGGGAGCATATTAACCAAGCTTGACATTTTTCTCTTTATCTTAATGCAAACAAAATCAATTGAATTCAGGCCTCCATATAAATTTTTTGTCTCATTTTGTTTTAGATGCTATCAGTTCAGGAATCACTCAAGCCAAACCATGGCATAGAGGAGTCCTTATAGAAATACCTAAATGACGACAGGTATGAGTACATCCTGTGTGGAAAGGAAGGGTTAGGCACTGAAACACTGAAAGACTCAATCCCCCTTCATTATGAAGAGCAGGGAAGTAGAAAAGAATAAAAATGCATTCCTCGAGGACAGGGATTGGCCATATTCATCTCTGGATCCCTAGTACCCAGGACGGTACACAGCACATAGCAGGTGCTTAATAAATATTCCTTGAGTTCTATTTAAATACATTCCTTCTCAATCATAATGTAAACATGGGGCACCTGGGTGGCTCAGTCGGTTAAGTGTCTTAACTCTTGATTTTGGCTAGGGTCATGATCTCAGGGTCGTGAGATCGAGCCCTGCATCGGACTCCACACTCAGCAGGGAGTCTGCTTAAGGTTCTTTCTCCCTCTGCCTCTGCCTCTCTCCCACCTCTAAAATAAATAAATAAATCTTAAAAAAATAATAATCTAAACTAGCATTTATTGAGCATTTGCCACATGCCAGACACTTTGCTAAGCACTTGACACATGTCCCTTCACCTAATTTTCACAAAACCATGTAGTATCTGTAATTATCCCAGATCTGATATTCAGCAGGTAAAAGCCAGGAAGACCCGGCTGGTTGCTGGAAGTGTAAAATACTTGCATACAGGTTGGTAAATAACAGATGCTCTGTGCCCCTGGAATGAACCCCGGACCCTTATACCTCTCCCTCACCAAATACCTCAGCCCAGGAGAGACCCAGGTGGATACCGCCAAGGAGCTCTCATCATGGTTCCCCCACAACGGCTCCCATCCCTGTGTGTTTCCCTGGCCTGAGCTGACCAGATGCTGAAGGGGTGAATGGAGCCCTGGTGGGTGGTGCTGGTACCTCAACAGGTAAGTGCTTTGTGTCCATCTCGTTGTCCAAGACTGGAATGAGTCTTCAAGAACGAATGCATCCGAAGTCACCCTCCTATGGCCGCCTGTGGGATTGGCAGTCTCTGCAGTGTACCTTAGGGGATGTTAAATATTTTGAATATCATTTCTGATTATCTACATGTGAAAGGAGAGGAAGCTGAGCATGTTAAAGAGTTTTTCAATGATTGACCAAGGTCACACAGCTAGTAAGGGTGGGTCCAGGACTAAACTTTCTCTGAGCTCTGTGCACTCTGCTATTATGCTATGCTACTGTATTAGTTAGCTAGGGATGCTGTCACAAAGGACCACGCACTGGGTGGTTTTAATGACAGAAATGTACTGTCTCACAGTTGTGGAGGCTAGAAGTGTGAAATCAAAATTGGCTGTGAAGGATCTGTTCCAGGCTTCTCTCTGTAGCTTGTAGATGACCAACTTCTCTCTGTGTCTCTTCGCATTGTCTTCCTACTATATGTGTCTGTCCCCGCATCCAAATTTCTCCTTTCAACAGGACACCAGTGATACTGGATTGATTAGGAGCCTACGCGCTCCAGTCTGACTTCATTTTAACTAATTACATCTGCAATGACCCTATTTCCAAATAAGGTCACATTCTGAGGTACTGACGGGTAGGAATCCAGCACAGGATTTGGGGGATGAGACACAGTTCAACTCTAACAGCTATTTTCCTTAATGAGACTTCCCTCATCTCTAACAAAGTTAAGTAGGCATCTACATAAACTATCTGGAGAAAGTTCACAGTGTATAGGACTACTAGGTCCCCCGTTAATGCCTCACCATTCCCAAGGCTCCCCTCCTTACTTCAGTCAGAAGTGGTTTGAATTGGCACTACTTGGCGACATTTGCTCTTGCCCAGTTGTCATCCCTAGGTTTCTATTGTGCCAACCCATTTCGATGTCTAGTTGAAGGATCTGAGATGAGGTGTTTTTTTTTACTGACTTTTATTCATTTTCATGCTACTTCCATGTCCTTAAGCTCGCTGCTGTTTCAGCTCTTGTCCCTTCAACGGTTCTGTGAACTCTGCAGCTCAAGGGATCCCAGGACCACTGGTCGTGTATGATGAATCCCTTCCAATCTCAAGGAGCTCCTGCAAAGGCCTTTCCCAGGAAGGGCGATAGGAAGCGTTGCTTTTGGAACTTTTCTCTCACTGAGAGCTTCAGCCATATTCTGTGTATATGAGATGGTCGTCCGGTTTTCTTGCACACTCCTTCGAAACAGACAGTAACCTTGGTCTCAGAGGCAGTGTCCTCGGACTTGGAAACTCATTGGACCAAAAATGTCTACAACTTATTTTTCTCCTTAGATTTTCTTTTTTTTTATTGATTTTCCATTTTTAGCACAAGATTGATCACCAGCAAAATACCAATTTACATACAGATTCTGCTAAACTCAGCGTCCTATATACTTGGGACTTTTTCATCTATAAACCAATTTTTTAAAGAGAGAGACTCTATTATCAGAAGTGTCCCTGATGACACTCAAGATAGCCTATAGGGAACAAACTCAGGATGCCTGCAGCCTGGTGGGGTGAGCTCAGCTGATTTGTGAGCATAATAACTATGAAGCCAAGGTCATAGGTTGATACGAATATG